TAAATGTTTTAGCTAGCTAGATTCTTTATATCCACTGTTTCACAAGACGACAGCCTGGTTTGTTGGTTTTCTCAGGAGTCCCTAAAACATTAAACAACACGAATTACAATTTCATACTCGTAACCCATAAAGCAAGCTGGCTAATGTTAGCTAGTCAGATAACTTGCTAAATAGCGATTTTCTTAAATTAACATTATGACAAAAAAATATGCATAATCGTTTGTCTCTACACTAACTAACATATTCCTCTCAACTGTAAAAATGTTTTGCATGACTCGTTATGATGTTATAATTACACTTACATTTGCTTCCATCCTAGTATTTTTGTCAGCCATCTTTGCTGGAGAAAGTCTCCAGCGATGGGTCGCATAGCGTCAAATTCGTCATGGGAACCACTCGAAATGTCTGGTCGCCGCTGGTGATTTCCATGAAGTTTGGAAATGCTGAACTTTTCATCGCCTCCCACGCCACGTTCGCACCGCGCGGAATTTCACCGCGCGGCACCGCTTGCTAGTGTACACCGGTCATAATGTACACGAGCCGTCAGGCGACAGTGCGCAGTTGTATTAGTGTGTAGTCCCGTGTAGCTCAGTTGGTAGAGCATGAGGGTTGTGGGTTCATTTCCCACGGGGGGCCAGTATGAAAAAAACAAAAAAACATGTATGCACTCACTAACTGTAAGTCGCTCTGGATAAGAGCCTCTGCTAAATGACTAAAATTTTAAATATAGCTGGTGAAGTCCGCTCCAGCAGAGACAAATCTGACATCCAGTCACCTTCACTCTGCTCCCAGAGCTTGCCTGCATTTAATTTCCAGCTTTCATTAATTACTTTAAACTGATTATGTATCATCAATGCTACCTAATGTTACTGCCCCACCACCGGCATTTTCAAATCATACTATCTAGCTAGCTAGCTCTAGCCAGCTAACCTACCTGGCACCTAGCTAACTAGCTAACGTTAGCCCTGCCTGGCACTTGCCAGTTAATCAGATTGCTAGCTTGACAGATATCCATTCGAAGTTCGACAAATCATACACGCACGGTATAGTTAATAATCATTAATACATTTTTATCATTAAGAAAGTATCCACTGTTGGAAAGATATTGAAATGCCACATGCGTGCCTTTGAACATCGACGTATATAAAGTCAGACGTAATCAAGGTCAAATTTGACAGATATGTGTGCCTGTCAATCTATCATCAGAAGTCTTATTTACATAAACTCTCTGATACATTTCATCTGAATAATAAAATACCAGTCTCACGAAATTAAAAGTGAGATGCATATTATGGGAACCTAAAACAGTTATGTTATTACAACGTTTTCACATATATTATGTTTACAGAACATAATCAAATTATTGATAGTACTGTTAGGTTTACAGTGTGTGGTTTGTTTCAATTTGGTAGTGCGCGTGGCAACAGATCTATCTAATTGAGTTACGGCTGTCAGTGAAAAGCGTCTAAAATATGTGTGAAGATAATGTGCCTAGAGTATAATTAGTATTAGTATATAATTATATAAGTCTGTTTTTGTAACATCCATTGCCAAAGATAGTTCCTCAATATTAGAAAAATCTTTCCGACACTCCCAGCCTCGATAAACACCAAGCCTCGGTGTGAAAGAGCAAAATATCATGATTGGATAATCCCATATATTCATTGGAAATGTCATAAAAAACTGCTTTCTCTCCCGAGCTCACTGGCGCAGGAAACTGAGGGCCCGGAATAGGCTGGTTGATACAATGTTGCAAGTTCGTTAGCTACAGTTTCTGGCCAGAACCTGTGATAATTTGATACAATGTTGAACTTCACTAGCAATAGCAAGTCAAGACATATGGAAAGGGAGGCAGACAAGTGGAGAAGAGAGATTAATGTGATTGAAAGAACCAGAATTTTCATCAGGATATTTTCTACTGTTTTTATTTGTCGGCTTTAGGCCTATGTATTTACTTAGTTGATTATGGAAGTTATAGGCCTACTGCTGCATTGGCCTATATGCTGAGTTCTATGCTCTCATTTCTTTAGCCACAGTGATCACAGTGTATCAATGTGTCCATATGGTAGAGGCTAGTGCTCTAGCTATAGATTAATTTTAACTTTTAGATTTGTATAATTTTACTTCAGATTTATATGATTAACCACATGACAATGATTTTGAGAGTCGAAAACATTATTGAAATGAAACTGTTCCACGAAAATGTGCATATACAAATATTCAAAACTGGAACGCAGATTGGTAGAACTGGTAGGATAAATTGTAAGCTTCCTCAAACTTGAAACTCATAAGCTGCCTATGGTCTTTACTATAACACCTATTAATAAAAGGATGCAAGCGCGTGCACACATAGGTGGTCCCGTGAAAAAAACGGGCCTGCCTATGTAAATCAAATGCCCCTCCAACTGTTCGTTCTTGTGCCAGGTCTGTTTATCGTGTTGCATTCTGTCTATTGTACTTTGTCTAAACGATTATTGATGTGCCTGTTTAAAGTGCGCATTTATGTATTCTCCTAATTTGCGCCTTTCATCTCCTTCTTGAACATAGGACTGACTGCTTGGAAAATATAAGTTCTCAAAGGAATTCTCAGTTGTGTGAGTTGTCTAGGTATGTTTACAGTAGTTTTGCCTACATCATTTGGTATATTGCTCTTTATTTACATTTCATCCTTTTTGTCTATTTTCGACTGCGTTCTTGGACTCAAACGTTACCTTTTTTTGGTAAATATATTCATCATATTAACTGCTCTTAGCCTATAGTAAAACCTTAATTCCATATTTATCGAACCAACTATAGTTATAAACACCCTCTGCATCAGCTATCTTTTTGTTAAATGTGATTTTTCTGTTTCTCTGTTCCTTGTTTCTCTCTTCTCTGTGCTGGAGTTCTTTTAAGAACTTGATGGTATAGCAATAGCCTAATACACTTGGCATTAACTTGAATCTTCGCTCTTCATTTTACCCACAAACAAAGTCTGGTAAAGCATATTGTTTTTTATTATTGCCAGTATAATTTAGCTAATAATCTTTACACTCATTTGGTATGGGTAATTCAAATCGTGTAGTGAAACATCATTTGCTGTTGGATCCTACCTCGAATAAAGGTATTTTGAATGTCTGTAGTAGAGCGGCTAGGCAGCATGCAACTTTGACATGCATCGTCCAAACTTCGGCTGAAGGGCGAATGCAAACTAATGCCGACGTCTCGGCGACATCTTGCCAATGTGCAAACGCTCTCCATTCTACGTATGTGTGCTGTCTGGGAAACATAGCCCAATTTGGTGGTGAGTGGGGTACATTTTAGCTTATAAACTATATATGAATTAATAATAAACAATTTAAATATACCTGTACATAAAGTGTTTGGCTATATGGCATGTTTCAATCCTTGAATTGGAATTCACTGAAGGGACTGAATTAAATGACCCCAAATCACACAGGTTTCGTGAGAGATGCAAAACCAGTAGGTGGCACTGGCAGCTGTGAACCAGCTAACAGTGAAAAATGCCTAGGGCTGTATAAGGGCACGATTTTACTGGGTTTATCCCAAATTAACTTTCTGAGCGATAAACACACGTTCACTTATTAAATGGCATTGTGATTGACATAATACATGCACAACCAAAGTCTTGTGATTGTCGTGGGACGGGAGTCGGTGTCCTTGACCATGCTGCCAAATTGTTATCCCATATCCCATTCAAAAAAACGAGGAACGAGGCACATTCTTAACCCAAGTAGTTGTTAGACAAAACATTCAGGTGTGGGCCTATGTTGGTGGACATACAAGCCAAACAAAACACAAACGAAAACAACTGAGCCATGCCTCATTATATAAATCAGTAAAATAGCGAGCCCAAGACACCATAACATCATGGTACAAGAACGCTTATCCCTGCCGTTACTCCCACTCAGAGTCGTCACTAGTTACCACATCCACAAAGTCATAAATCCCGCCCATTTCTACAATTTTAAACCTAACCGTAACCTTAACCACACTGTTAACCCTATGCCTATCCCTAACCTTAAATTAAGATCAAAAAGCTAAAAAATGAACTTTTACTACTTTGTGGCTGTGTTAACTAGTGGAAATCCTTTTTTTTTCAAGCGCAACTACTGCACTCTAACGGATTGATATAAACTCTGGCCAATCAGATTCTTACAACGAGCCTATTATTGCAAAGGGATAGGCTGACGCGTTTTGGTGTGCCAAGGTAGGTTGTATCCTTGTTTAAACTGTCCACGCATCGAATTGTCACGTGGGCATCTCTTTTAGCGCAACCTGGAATCGATAAGGATTGTAGGGTACTCATACAAACACCGAGTCTTGTTTTGGTAGATAGCTACTGGATTTATTAAAAAAGTGGAGAAGGAAGAAAAAACTTTGCACCCACTTCACATTCAGCAGCTACGTATCACATTGGACCCTAACATATTTTCAAAGGATAATCGAATGCATTGATACATTTTTTATTTTTGTGGGTTGCACTTTTGCAAGCAGGACTATCGACTGGACAAGCCTGCCTTGGTGGTTACCGAGCATGTGAAATGGGGTCAAATGCTGACGGTGCTTGTTTTGAACTCAGCATTTGGATCTCCGGACTGAAGTGAGTTTTCCCTTATTTTGGTAGGCAATGTTTTGTCATCATAATGAATGAACAAATTAAAGAGTATGTTATTTTATTTTCTTAGGGAGAAAATGTAGCATGCTGCTTAGAAATTCCACAGCAGCACCAACGGTTTGACAACCCAGTTATTGGTTTAGCGCTGTTAGTTGAGCAAATTCAGAGTTAAAAGCAACATGAACTCACTTGTTTTCAATGGCTATATTTGGATCGAAATTCACTAATTCTATTTTTTGCTTTTTTATTTATTTATGTAAGAATAGTTGTATTTTTAAATACAAGTAGTATTTAAAATTCCAAAATGGCTAGCCCAACTACAGAGCAGCAGGGTTGTTTTTCGGATGTAAGAAAGGTGGGTTATTTAAGGAAACCCAAAAGTATGCACAAGAGGTTTTTTGTCCTGCGGGCTGCTAGTGCTGGAGGACCCTCCCGGTTGGAGTACTACGAAAACGAGAAAAAATGGAGACACAAGTCTGGGGTGCCTAAAAGGTCAATCCCGCTGGAGAGCTGCTTCAACATAAATAAAAGAGCAGATTCCAAAAACAAATACCTGGTGGCTCTTTACACCAAGGACGAGTATTTCTCTATCGCAGCGGACAGCGAGCAGGAACAAGACAGGTGGCACCAAGCACTAGTGGACCTACACAACAAAGGTAAAGTTCACGATGCTGCTGTTGGTGGCAGTGGGATGGCAGAGGAGAATTATGGAGAAAACATGCCAGGACCTGCCTTTAAAGAAGTCTGGCAAGTTATTTTGAAACCAAAGGGCCTGGGACACACCAAAAACTTAATTGGGATTTACAGATTGTGCCTAACAAATAAAACCATCAGCTTCGTAAAATTGAACTCTGACGCAGCGGCGGTCGTGCTGCAATTAATGAATATAAGGAGATGCGGTCATTCAGAGAATTTCTTTTTCATTGAAGTGGGAAGATCCGCAGTCACAGGACCGGGGGAATTTTGGATGCAAGTGGACGACTCTGTCGTGGCTCAAAATATGCATGAAACCATCCTGGAGGCGATGAAAGCGATGAGCGAGGAATTTCGTCCCAGGAGCAAAAGCCATTCCTCGTCAAACTGCTCCAACCCAATCTCTGTGCCTTTGAGAAGGCATCACCACAACAACCTGCCCCCTAGCCAAGTGGGACTGGGAAGGAGGTCCCGGGCTGAGAGTGTGACGGCCATCTCGCCTGCTGGCCCGGGAAAGCACAGTCATTCATTCAGAGTGAGAGCCTCTAGTGATGGGGAGGGAACCATGTCCAGACCAGCCTCAGTAGATGGTAGCCCCTGTGTTGCCAGGACACAGTCTCACAGACACAGAGGCGCCTCCCGCCTCCACCCTCCCCTCAACCACAGCAGGTCTATCCCCATGCCCTCCTCGCGCTGCTCCCCCTCAGCAATCAGCCCAGTTAGCCTGTCCTCCAGCAGCACGAGCGGGCACGGCTCCACTTCAGACTGTCTCTACCCCCGCCGCTCCAGTGCCTCCATATCTGGCTCTCCTATTGATGGGGGATTCATTTCCTCTGATGAGTATGGATCCAGCCCCTGTGACTTCAGGAGCTCCTTCCGCAGTGTCACCCCTGAATCCTTGGGTCACACACCCCCCGCCAGGGAGGAAGAACTCAATAACTACATCTGCATGGCCAAGCCTGCAACTCTTCCTGGGGGCCACTGTGGCTGCAGCCCCCACCCCCACCGTACGCCATCCCACCTGGACGAGCTTGAGCTGGAGAAGTGCTTCAGGAAACGGACACACTCCTTGAGCACGTCTCCCCCGACAGTGTGCCACCAGAAGACCCCCTCTCAGTCCTCCACAGTATCGCTGGAGGAGTACACAGTGATGCAGCCTGCATACTTGTCATGCAGCCGAGCATCCAGCTACAGGCACTCTGCCTTCATGCCCACACACTCATACCCAGAGGAGGGCATAGACATCCCCTTAGAGGACAACAGGGTGAGCCAAAAAGATGATGGCTACATGCCCATGACCCCAGGTGTGGCACCTGCCACAGGTAAGAGTGCCGACTACATGCCCATGAGCCCCAAAAGTGTGTCGGCCCCACAGCAGATCAACTCCCGCCAGCACCCCAGAATGGACTCCAATGGGTACATGATGATGTCACCCAGCGGGAGCTGCTCACCAGACACCACAAACTATGGTCAAATCTGGACCAATGGGGTCAACCCTAAGCTGTCTGTCGAGAGCACGGAGGAGAAGTTGTCGTCGTGCGGGGATTACATGAACATGTCGCCGGCCAGCTGCTCCATGATCAGCACGCCGCCAGACTGCTACTTCAACCTGGTGGAGGAGCCGCCCAAGTCCATGTATGCCTACTTTTCCTTGCCTCGCTCCTTCAAACACAGCCACAGGAAGCTGGACCAGAACCCCCTGCGCCTCTCGCTCAGCTCTGGACGCCTGGCCTTCGGGGACTCCTCTTCCTCCTCCACGAGCAGCGACAGTCTGGGGGGACAGGGCCACAGTGGTCAGCCCGTGGTCAAGCCCAAAAGAGCTGATGTGGACAGCAGGCTGGCCAGGCCCACGAGCCTCTCTCTGGAGGGCAACAAAGCCAGCACCCTGCCTCGCGCCCGTGAGTGCCCCTTCCCCGCAGAGCCCAAGAGCCCTGGGGAGTATGTCAACATAGTGTTCAACGACAAGGCCTTCTCAGCTAGTTTGGCCACTCTCTTCTCCCCCGTGTTCCCAGGGAGTGGCCCAGAGAGGCCAGCAGAGATTTCCTCTGACTACATGAACATGCACCTGGGTGCTCAGGGCAGGGACATTCCCTGCTGGGCAGCCAAACCCCCAGCCTCCTGCACAGATGGCTATGCTATAGTGGCCCCTGCGGCTCCCTCCTCTGTGATCCACTGTGAGAACCTCTGTAGACGGGACTACAGCAGCACACAGACTGACTACTCCAACACAGAGATGATTCTGAATGCTCCAGTGTCAGCCATTGATGTCACCCCCTTCTCCGTGTCCCCTCCCAGCCAGGACCTGTCTGTGCTGGGCGCAGGTCCCAGTGCCGTGCATTTGGGACTAATGGGCCCTCTCTCTGGGCTGAGTGCTTTCACTAGGGTTAACTCCAGCTCCATCTGGAACCAGGGAGCTAAAGTGATCCGCGCCGACCAGCAGGGTCGGCGCCGGCACAGCTCCGAGACCTTCTCCTCCACGGGAGCCCCGGTCAGCGCCGCCTCATCCTCCGTTGGGGAAGTGAAACGTCACAGCTCCGCCTCTTTCGAGAATGTGTGGCTGAAACCGGGAGAATCCCCATTATCTGCCAACGGGAGGAGAGAGAGCCCGCCAGGGCCCAGCTCTAACGGTCAAAACCAGAACCGGCTGAACTACATCGACCTGGACCTGGCTCGGGACCAGAACCTCCCAGAGTGGAGTTCCCTCCAGGCCAGAGCCAGGGACATGCAAGGTGGCAGTGCCCCAGAGGACCTGCGCGCCTATGCCAGCATTCGTTTTCAGAAAGCCGACGAGTCAAGGATGAACCCCGCTCACAGAGAAGGTAAGACTGCCCGCTCCCTGTAGCATCTTTTCCTAATGATTTTGTTTTTGTTAGTGTGTGTGTCGCAGCTGGTGTGTGTGCGTTGCATGTCTGTGTGTGGAGTCTGAGATTGTGTGTATGTGTGTTAGCCCTCTGAAATGTTGAGCCTAATTGTGCATGAAAACACTTGTGGTATTCATGTTTCGTCATTGTGCATACCACCATTCAGATTACTGTATGGAGTGAAACATGAAGTCCCCAGTTTAGAATCATGCACATTGAAAGCAGAGAACATACTGTACTCAGTCAGTCCCAGACCTGAGTGATTCCCCTTAAGCAGGCCCACTCACGAGGTTTCTCAGGAGCCAGTTTCTGTTGCAATGTAAACATGACTAGATGAGCTTGACTTTCTACTGAGCTACTCTACTGAGGTCCAATCAGTTTAGCACAATGATGAAACATTGTGCTAAGCTAAACTAAGTATTCATGTATTAGTATTTTTAAAAGTATTTTTGGATAAGTAGCCTACAGTCTAAATTATCCTTCCTCTTTCCATAAAGCACAAACTCTTTCCACTGTTTTTTTTTTGTTAAAGCTATAGGCTACATTTTGAAGGTGATGGTTTAAATGTTTACCTAATGCCATTAAAGAGTAGCTAAGTTTTGATGTTCCATTAAGTAACATGCAGTCGGAGCAATTGGCTGGATCCAAGATCTTAATGTTAGACCACTCCACACTCAGTCTCACTCCAACCTAATTCTCTCAGGGCGACACAAATGAAATAGGAGATGGATGAGAGGCCTCTTTGTTCCCTCTGACTGGAGTGTATTCTCAGGGCACCAGTAAATATGTATATTTTTCAAGAAAAAAGCTCTTCATTCACAGATCGTCCAACTATAAATGTATTTTGTGAAATACATTAGCTTTTTCTCTGGGGGTGGGGGCCTACCTTGTATGCCGACATGGGTTGTTGTTGGCCATTTCCATTTAAAAGAACCCATGAGCACCAACGTGAAGTTCATAGGAGCACATCAAATTTGTTGTCAAATGAAAGATGAGTCTATATTTTTTAGAAATTCAGGCATATATATATATATATATTTTTCATCCTTAAATTAGAAATAAGCAAAGGCTTTGATTTCTGGTCAAACAGATGGAAAAGGGGTCTTAGAAAACATCTTCCAGAAAAATACTTAAAAGGTATTAGAAATACATCAACACAGGCCTCCCGAGTGGCGGAGCGGTCTTTAATGTATTTAACCTTTATTTAACTAGGCAAGTTAGTTAAGAACAAATTATTGTTTACAATGACGGCCTACCCCGGCCAAACCCGGACGACGCTGGGCCAATTAATCAGCGTAATCAACCACTGAGCACCGACCGACACCGGACGTCCATGGACATTAAAAAATAGCTGAAATTTAGACGTCCATATTTCAGAAGTTTGGACAGCACATTACAGAACAGTATGTACAAGTGGGTAACCTGTATAAGTGTGACATGGAAATGTGTTTTTTGCATATCCCTCTCCACCTGAGACACCCTCTGAGAGTGGGGTCACAGCCAGGGGATCAGCCATTATTGACAGCGACCCTGGAGCAATTGGGGTTAATTGCCTTGCTCAAGGGCAGAACAACAGATCTTTACCTTTTCGTCTCTGGGATTCGATTCAGCAACATTTCAGTTACTGGCCCAACTATCCTAACCACCCAACTACCTGCCGCCCAGTACTGTGCTGTGCTGTGCTCTACTGTGTCCAAACTTGTGAAACATAGACATCTATGATTGGTTCAGATTTGGTCCGTCCGTCCGTACCAACCAAATTTGGTCTTGTTTGGGGGGACCTCATTAGAATAATAGCAAATGTGTAGAATAATACCCAAATATGCAAACGAGGATATTGCATTTTTCTACCTTTGTGTACATGTTCAGGAAACATCACAATGAATACATGACATATCCATAATTATGCATTTCTGTATAGTACAGATCAGGGACCCATGATGTCATTCAGTTACTGTCATTCTGTTATCAGCTGTTAATCCACTTGATTTACTGTAGTTCAATTAAAATAGTTTTTTTTTAACTCAAGGTGTCACATCATAGGTGACACCCCATTATTTCTGCAGACATCTTTGAATCTTAATTTAGAGTACATATTTACACGTTTTTTTTTACCATCATTCTGTTATGTAAACTTTACAAGTATACTGAACAAAAATATAAACGCAACATGCAACAATTTTTTTGCTAAGCTACAGTTCATATAAGGAAATCCGTCAATTGAATTAAATTCATTAGGCACTAATCTATGGATTTCACATGACTGGGAATACAGATATGCATCTGTTGGTCACATATACCTTCATCAGAAAAGCAGTCAGTATCTGGTGTGACCACTATTATCCTCAGGCAATGCGACACATCTCCTTCGCATGACCTGTGGAATGTTGTCCCACTCCTCTTCAATGGCTGTGCTAAGTTGCTTGATATTGGCTGGAACTGAAACACCCTGTCGTACACGTCGGTCCAGAGCATCCCAAACATGCTCAATGGGTGACATGTCTGGTGAGTATGCAGGCCATGGAAGAACTGGGACATTTTCAGCTTCCAGGAATTGTGTACAGATCCTTGCGACATGGGGCTGTGCATTATCATGCTGAAACATGAGGTGATAGCGGCGGATGAATGGCACAACAATGGGCCTCACGATCGATAAAATGCAATTCTGTTTGTTGTCCGTAGCTTATGCCTGTTCATACCATAACCCCACCACCACCATGGGGCACTAGTTCACAACATTGACATCAGCAAACCGCTCGCCCACACGACGCCATACAGCCTGCGTTTTTATGTTTTATTTTTATATTTTTTGGGGGGGGTCATTTAACAGACGCTCTTATCCAGAGCGACTTACAGTTACAACAACCCTGGCGTTGCAAACGCCATGCTCTACCAACTGAGGCCGGTTGGACCTACAGCCAAATTCTCTAAAATGACGTTGGAAGCAGCTTATGGTAGAGAAATTAACATTAAATTATCTGGCAACAGCTCTGGTGGACATTCCTGTAGTCAGCATGCCAATTGCACGCTCCCTCAAAACTTGAGACATCTGTGGCATTGTGTTGTGTGACAAAATTGCACATGGTAGAGTGGCCTTTTATTATCCCCAGCACAAGGTGCACCTGTGTAATGATTATGCTTTTTAATCAGCTTCTTGATATGCCACACCTATTAGGTGGATGTATTATCTTGGCAAAGGAGAGATTCTCACTAACAGAGATGTAAACAAATGTGTGCACAGAATTTGAGAGAAATTAGCTTTTTGTGCCTATGGAACATTTCTGGTATCTTTTATTTCGGCTCATGAAACATGGAACCAACACTTTATATGTTGCGTTTATATTTGTGTTCAGTGTAAATGTGTTTTTGTAAAATGTTCTGTGGAAATTGTTGAAATTGTCCCTGTGCAATCAATGGTTTTAGTTTAGCATACATTTTTTGGTGAAACATTTGAGTCTCAGGGTCATTCTTTTACCATGGAATTGCCCTGTTGTTTTTTTAGTGTGTGTGCCAGTGTGTACAGTGCATTCGGAAAGTATGCAGACCCCTTGACTTTTTCCACATTTTGTTACGTTACAGCCGTATTCTAAAATTGATAAAACTGTTTGTTTTTCTCGTCAATATACACACAATACCCCATAACGACAAAGCAAAAACTTAAATATCACATTTTACATAAGTATTCAGACCTTTTACTCAGTACTTTGTTGAAGCACCTTTGGCAGCGATTACAGCCCCGAGTCTTCTTGGGTATGACGCTACCAGCTTGGCACACCTGTATTTGGGGAGTTTTTCCCATTCTTCTCTGCAGATCCTCTCAAGCTCTGTCAGGTTGGATGGGGAGCATCGCTGCACAGCTATTTTCAGGTCTTTCCAGAGATGTTCGATCGGGTTCAAGTCCGGGTTCTGGCTGGGCCACACAAGGACATTCAGAGACTTGTCCCAAAGCCACTCCTGGGTTGTCTTGGCTGTGTGCTTAGGGTCGTTGTCCTGTTGGAAGGTGAACATTCGCCCCAGTCTGAGGTCCTGAGTGCTCTGGAGCAGGTTTTCATCAAGGATCTCTCTGTACTTTGCTCCATTCATCTTTCCCTCGATCCTGACTAGTCCCATAGATCCCATAGAAAATCTGTGGAGGGAGCTGAAGGTTCAAGTTGCCAAACGTCAGCCTCGAAACCTTAATGACTTGGGGAAGATCTGCAAAGAGGAGTGGAACAAAATCCCTCCTGAGATGTGTGCAAACCTGGGGGCCAACTACAAGAAATGTCTGACCTCTGATTGCCAACAAGGGTTTTGCCTTGTTTTGCAGAGGGGTCAAATACTTATTTCCCTCATTAATATGCAAATCAATTTATAACATTTTTGACATGCGTTTTTCTGGATTTTTTTGTTGTTATTCTGTCTCTCACTGTTCAAATAAACCTACCATTAAAATTATAGACTGATCATTTCTTTGTCAGTGGGCAAACGTACAAAATCAGCAGGGAATCAAAAACGTTTTTCCCTCACTGTAGCAAAGGGTCTGAATACTTATGTAAATAATAGGGGTGTAACGATCCATCTACTACATCGATGTATCGATTTATATTCCTATGATCCAACTACATCGATCTGTGCTCGGCGAGTTGGCCTTTTGGACAACATATATCGATCTAACATCGTTTTAAAATGTAATAAATCTATTGTATCGATACTAGGAAATAACCCATTGGATTTAAGCACGTCAGACTTTATATGGATGTTTTTTCTTAGCACTTTTAATGATAAAGGCTTTAAACATTACTCGATTCAGTCTGCCTATCCGTGACGTCATCGCGCCAACAGCAGCGCAAAGGCGCAAAGACAACAAAATATAGCATGGCGGACGACAGAGGAGAAGCCGACGAGCGAGAAATTATCAAGCCACCATTGCGGTCCTTACAAGAAACAGGAATCTAGGAAACTTCACCTGCACTATCCAGGTATTTATTTCAGTCACACTGGT